CCCCCCCTCTCCCCGGGAGCCCCCCTAGGAAACCCTAACCCGCGATGCCGCACCAACCCCACGTACCCCCCTTTCCCCGGGACTCTCCCCCCTGGGAATCCTCAATCAGCGATACTTCCCAACCCTACGAACCCCCCTTCCCTGGGAACCTCCCCCCTCAGCGATTCCTCCCCCCAAAGCCCGTTTCTTCAGCCGCATCTGAAACAAACAAGGCAAATCAAGAATTATTAGCATGATTAGCAACAGGTGACAAAACTGGCTTCTAAGTTTCTATTTAATCCCTCATCCACGTTGTTAAAAGTTCTGTTCTATGATCATCAGTGGCTTGGCGTGCTTTGCGATATATTGATTGTTATGCCACTTAAACCTATGGAAAAGGATCGATAAACAGGGTGTTCGTAGCGAACACCTTCATAATCGATTCTTTACCGTAGGTTTGAATGGCATATCAATCGATATGCCGCAATTCATGCCACGCCCCTGATTATTAAGCTGGACTTATGGATGCTAAAGAGATTTGCATGCAACATACTTCCTTTTAGCGTGCATAGGTCCGAGGTCCGATATCCTTTTGTCCATTTATCTCTTGTCAAAATTCTAGTCAAGGCACCATGCCAAAATGTATCAAATCTTAGGTATTACTTTTTCAAATTAAAATTGCCGTTCCGTGTTGCTTTTTGACTATACCCTGCAGCATTAATTGCAGAAAAGTGGTAAAATAGTGCTGCATCCACACTATTTTGCGGGGGAAACGAGACCAAAGAGAACTTTTTGATTTCTTTTTTTTTTCGAACTTTTTGGCCTTGTTTTCCCAGCAAAATTGTGTGGACGCAGCACTATTGTACCATTTGGCCTATTTTACTATTAATTACTATTGTACCACCTCCTTACATACTGTCGCCCTTTTGACTTAAGGGCATAAATCTCAATTTCCACCTGAGCTCTATTTCGCATATAAAACCATGCTTTTTGAGGCTCATGCGGAAATCGAGATACGCCCTTACGCCAGAGGAGCGACAATGCGTCCGGGCTACGTTTCTTCGCGGTTTTATTTTTCTCGATAATTTCAAGTTTGCATTCATCTGTAGAGTAACTGGACTGCATTACGCGAAAAGACACTACTTTTTCTGGCTCACTTAGAAAATTTTTTGGCATTTATGTCTTTGCTACAATAAACCGAAAAAGCTGACTCCTTTCTACATGATTCAGTCTAATTACTTTCAGTTGAATGCAGTATTGTTCGATAGTATTACACGAGAGCCATGCAGAACTGAAAGAAATTGCAAATACTTTTCATCTCTTTCAACAACTGAGGGCATTCAAGTTAAGGATACGATAGAACAAATAGGTGCACGTTTTGGAGGGCACTACTTCCGTCTTCAATGGCTCATCATGCGGAGCATTTTCTTCGTTTTTTGCAGGCCTGAAACAAACTAAGAATAAAAAAAAAGAATGATTAGTTGGAGCTTAACCTAACTTGAAAATAAAAAATTTATTGGAGAATTAGTTTTGTTCATGTAAAATCAGCTATTCTTTTTTGACTTGTGCCATAGCTCCAATAATGGGGTTCTCATGTACATAAATATAATAAATAAATAAATAAATAAAATAAATTTGATAAAGCTGATACCCATCTCTTACTCTAATGCAAAATTAATAATTTATTTGGAATGTAATGAAGCTAATTTTTACTTTTGTCTTTTCTTTCGCTATTTGATAGGTAATTCGTCGCTTGGCTTACAGAAGGGCGTAACTACACATTGAGATGAGCCCGGAAAAGCATTGAATTGTATGAAAAGCAGGGTTCACTGCAGAGTGTAGTTACGCCCTAATGTCAGGTAGGCGATGATGTGAGCGACTAATAAAATTCATTTTACAGTGATTATAAATGATAAAAAAGTGATAAGTGATTAAAAATGTCTTAGTATTTCCTGCTAAATCATGCGAAAATCTACGATAGGGCGATTCGATGGACGCCATATTTTGTGTCAGAACGACATGCAATATATCGCATCAATTGGTCCCATTTTTTCAGCTACTCGTCATTTTTCTCCAATTTTGAGATCGCAATTTTGTTGTCAGGAGACTATAGCACTCACTTACCAATTTTAACAAAGAAATTCAACGGAATAAAGGCGTGGTTTTTTCGGAGAGAAAACATCGCATTCGATTCTGATATTGAATGCGATATTTACTCTGTAAAAAAACCACGCCTTTATTACGTTGAATTTCTTTGTTAAAATTGGTAAGCGAGTGCTTTAGTCTCTTGACAACAAAATTGCGATCTCAAAATTGGAGAAAAATGACGAGTAGCTAAAAAATGGAACCAGTTGATGCGATATATTGCATGCCGTTCTGACACAAAATATGGCGTCCATCGAATCACCTTAATATTTGCAACACCAAAAATAATGAATGTGAAATTCAATGATCAAAATGCGTTTAAAATTGCTTTCACTGTGAGCGTGCTAAATTATGCGAAAATCTATGTTTATATTTGCAACACTAAAAATAATTAATGCGAAATTCAATAATCAAAATGCGAGTAAAACAGCTTTCACTGTGAGCGCTTCGTTTCTTGCCGATCTGAAAAAAAAGATAAACAAAAGGAAATGAGGTAGTTTGAGGTTGACGGAATATAAAACGGAAAGTAAAACTAAGCTGATCAGTTTGAAAAACTGTTTTTCCTATCAGTCTGAAGCTATGGAAAAAGAGGAAAAGTAGTTTAAAGTATACAAGAAAAAACACTAAATAAAACGAGGTCTTTTTACTGTGTTTGTTTCATACTAATCTGATAAAAAATAAATGAAAGTAAAACACAGAGACTAGAGTTAATACTTTGTAGTTCTCTATATTTTGAATAAAGAAAAAAGAAAAAAAAAACACACACAGAGTAACTAAGACTAGTTTGTCATTTGAGAGATTAATAATTTGGAGCTATAAATTCTGAAAAAACACGTACGTGCATAGGGAAACTAATGGCACATACGTTGTTTTTAAACCGGGCCAGAAATTAAAGTTGCAAATTACAAAATGCAGTCCAATTTTCCATGTGATTAAAATGCTGAAAATCATCTAACCGCATCTCTCGTAAATTCTGAAGTGATTCATACAAATGAGAAAGAAAAGTAACTGTGAAGCTTTTGAAGAGGGGAAACATACGGCTTAAGGTGATTCGATGGACGCCATATTTTGTGACAGAACGGCATGCGATTTACCGCATCAATTGGTTCCATTTTTCAGCTACTAGCCCGTCATTTTCCTCCAATATTGAGATCATATTTCTTAATACTTTTGTAGTAGGCGAAATCTTGAATAAAACTAAAAAAATTGAGAACGCAATTCTGTTGTCAGGAGACTGAAGCACTCATACTTACCAATTTTAACAAAGAAATTCAACGTGATGAAGGCGTGGTTTTTTCAGAGGAAAAAAAACGCATTCGAGTGCAGTTTCGATATCAGTATCGAATGCGATGTTTTCTCTCTAAAAAAAACCACGCCTTTAATACGTTGAATTTCTTTGTTAAAATTGGTAAGTGAGTGCTTTATTAGTCTCCTGACAACAGAATTGCGATCTCAAATTTGGAGAAAAATGAAAAGTAGCTGAAAAAATAGAACCAATTGATGCGATATATCGCATGCCTTTCTGACACGAAATATGGCGTCCATCGAATGACCTTAAGAAGAGTTTAACAGTTAACAGACTTTACAGTTTAAAAACTTTATTTGTTTAAAATTTAATTTTTTTTAATTTCAAAAATTTTATCTTTCAAATTTTAGAAATAAAATTTTTACCTTTTAAATTTTAAAATTTTTATTTTTCAATTTGATTTTTATGTTAATATTTTACATCAGTTTTAACAATTTGTTCAGACTCAATAGATCAATAGTATATATATATTAAAAACATAGTAGTAGTGAGTATATAAAGAGTAGTATAGTAAGTAAATCAGTTTAGTAAGTATAGTAAGTACAGTAAGTAAATAAGTATAGTATGAGTAGTAAGTAAGTATATAGTTGTGGTAGTAGTAATATATGTGTACTTTTGACCTATTGAGTATGAATAGATTGGAAAAATGATGTGAAACATTAAAATAAAAATCAAATTGAAAAGTTAAAATCTTAAAATTTTAAAGTAAAAATTTAAATCTAAAATTTGAAAAAAAAATTTTGAAATGAAAAAAAAAATAAAAAAAAAGTTTTTAAATTGTAGAGGATATAAATTTTAAACATTAAATTTTGTGACAGTAGAAGTTATGAATAAGATATCATACGGTGTACTCACGGATTAGGACCTGCAGTATAAGTGTTGCAATTCCAGTATCCGACTGCACTACATCACTACACCACTAAAACACAACACAACATCACTGACCCACTGGCCTGCTCACCAATTGAACTACTTCACTTGATGAACCCAAACTGATTGAAATTAGGGGTTGGGGTTTCCCTTTTATAAGCTCGTATCCTGTTTGTCTGTATCCACCACAAACGATCCCATCCCCCCCCCCTCTCTTGCTGACCCCTCTCACAATCAGGGCGTATTCCAGAAACTTTTTCCTGTTTTCCAGTGGCGGGAAACCCGAACTTTACGGATTTTAGGAATGGGTGCAGCATCCCATCGTAAACATCATTAGTCAGGTGGTGCGTAGGGAGGGGTCCTTTGTTCCACTGCGAGGTGGATGATGGACCTCACGTGCGTCATTGTAATCAGGACATGGAAATCCCCTGTTTTGTTTCTTCGTCGGTCCGGTCAGGAAACCTCCAGGCTGCGAAACAATGAAAGAGGGTTAACTTTTGTGAACAGGAAAAAGAACACGGAAATAAATTATTTCGGAGACGTCCGTTATAGTGAAATAGCAAAAAATACTGAACTACAAAAAAAGAGAGGGGGGGGGGCAAAGAACAGAAAAAGTCTCTAAGTGAACTGCGTAGTGCGTAGTTCCACAAACAAAAGCGGTGCGTATCACGATAATATTGATATTATTTTTTGGTAAGGTATGGTATGAATATTTTTCATTGAAATATTTAGATAGTTTTGATGAAATCGCGATTAAAATTCATAAGCAAATGGAGAATTCGCAGGTGTCTGATATTTTCTGAATTTCGTATTTAAGTGGAAACTTACACAAGTTGAACACAGTGAACTGAACACAAGGATGCCCTTGGTTCATAAATTGAACAAATATTGGTAAAGATATGACAAAATAACCCAATCTGCTAAAATACATGTATTTAAATGGGAAATGCCGCCAGATGACGTCACTAGGTGGTGCATTTTCTCACTTTTAAATTTATTTTTACACTATTTCCTATCGCAGAAAATTTTTGTAAGAAATACTGCAAAATCAGCTCTTTAGGCACTTTCAGATGAAGCAATAAAAAACTTGCGTGCAAATTCTCCATTAGGAGGAAAAATCACAAATTTCCCATGAAATTTCCGTTTTATCACGTGAATTTTGGCAACGTCCGAGGGCTCATAAGACGTTCTCTCGCAAGACAGAGTTCGGTCTGACGGGATTTGAGTATCGATCTCAAACATTTTTTCTGCCGATTAATTTTTCCGGCTATCGATGAGAGACATTCTCCAGCTGAACCCGCTCTCCCTAGATCTGGGTGTCTACAGGTCCGGAAAACCCGGAGATGACTGCTATTTTTAGAGTGGCTTGGAAGCACTCATAATGCGTGGTTTTTTAAAGACAGCCTGGAAAGTATGCGCAATCTCTTGCGCATCAATTCTTAGTCCACCTGAGAGTTCGCCTTCAATTTCCCGCTTAAGGATGGAAACCTACCGGGAAGCTCCAATAGTTGTCTATTCTAAGAGAGCAAATTTATCTCACATAATAAGCTTCAATAGAGAATATGCAGGTGTCTTAAATTTTGTGATTTTCATCTTGAAAATTGAGTACGAGAATATCTTTGGTTTCTAAATCGAACAATTATTGGAGAACATATGGCAATGCATGTTCTCAATTTTTGGGTATTTTCCTCACCTCCTCATCCTCCTCCTTCTATTTTCTCTATCTCTTATTCTTATTCCTCTTTTTCTTCTCCCTTTTTTCAAGACGAGGGTATTTACCTATTTGCAAAGTATACCCGCCCTTACATAATCTTGCCTCACTAAGCCCGAACGTAATACATGTCATAGAGACAAATGAGGGGCTTGGAGGACGAGGCGCATGAGTGCAGTTTTTGCTATTTCGAGAAATACGTGTTTGAGGTTTCGGAATTACATGGATCCTTATGGCTGAAAAAAAGTTCAAACTGACTTTTTGATGCTTAAAAATTGGAATTTGGTAGCGAGTCTTCACAGAACATGCATTAGGACTTGTTTTACTTGAAATTATTAATATCTCAATTTTTTCAAAAACTGCACGTATGCGCCTCGTCCTCTAAGCCCCTCATATGAGGTCTTCCATCGTCTGAAGCCCCTAAAATAAGGGTTTTAATTCAGAAATGTCATTGAGAGTTATTTCAACTGGATTACATTTTGCGATGAGGAACCACTATTTCTGGCCGATTTTAGAAATAACATACGTGCCATTCGTTTCTCTATGCAGATATGTGCTTTTATGGGAGAGCCGTGGTTCCTTAATGCAAAATGTAATCCAAATTGTTACTCACAAATTTGAAAATTCACCTCGTCCTTTTTTTTTCTCCAACCTTCTTCTCTTTCTAACTCCAGGCAACCAAAAAAGACATGATGTGCAGAAATTGTGAAAAAAATTTCCTCTTAATTGCTTCGAAAGAACTTAAAGGCGTAAAATTGTTTCCGGGGAGATATTTGACAACTTTAGAATGAGATTTGTAACTTGCAAATCCGCGCGTCTCCTCTCTCCTTTCGTATAAAGTTAAACTTTAGAATGCTTTCTTTAGCATAGAACCTCTATTACGCTAGGAAAAGGAGGATAAGAGTTGAACATTTCACCTGAACTTTACCTTAATTTTATTAATTTAATTAATTTTAATAAATTAATTTTATTAATTACCTTACTTTTATTAATTACCTATGCGGAATGAGTACAATATTTCATTCCATTGACCACATAATTGCGAATTGAGTCAGGAAAACCCTATCTACATCGTTCCGCTTGATCTGAATCCTGCCTGGCTAAAGAAGAACGTTATAAGAGCCTCCAGGCATTGCCTTTCCTTTGATAAAATACAAACTTCCAAGAAAATTTGAGGATATTTTTCTTCGGATTCTAAGAATATTTTAATCGCGATCAGATCTAAATTATCTGAAAAATGCAAGAGGAAATATTCATAAGTCTCCTCAAAAATAAAAATTTTATGGAAGAAATTTGGCAACTATCTCGAATGGTTGTAAAGTGATGGAAAAAAAAAGTCGACCAATCGACGTGATTCGATCAACACCGATTCGGCCGACAAAATCCGATCGACTCACGGGTTTGTCGATCGACTCGCAGATTTTGTCGATCGACTCGCAGATTTTGTCGATCGACTCGCAGATTTTGTCGATCGATTCACGGGTTTTTCGATCTGTTTACGGGTTTGTTAATCGATTTAAGGCTGTCGATTGAATCAATGTCCATCGAACCATGTCGATCGGTTCAAGTTTTTATTTATCAATCGATTCATGTCGATCGAATCCTGATTCCGATTGTCGATTAAATTGGTGTCGATCGAATCATGTCCATCGGTTCACGTTTATATTTTTCGATCGATTTATGTCGATCGAATCGACTCCGGTTTTTCAATAATATGTCAATCGGTTCACGACGATCAATTGAGGGGCCTTGGAGAACAAGGCGCATAAGTGCAGTTTTTGCTATACCGAGACATGCGTGTTTGAAGTTTCGGAATTTCATGGATCCTTATGGCGGAAAGAAAGTTCAAACTGACTTCTTGATGCTTAAAAATTGTAACTTGAGAGCAAATCCTTCACAGAATATGCATTAAGACTTGTTCATATGACTTGAAATCATTAATATCTCAGTTTTTTCAAAAACTGCATTTATGCGCCTTGTGCTCCAAACCCCTCAATTCACATTTTTATCTCCCGATCGATTCATGTCGATAGAATCCTTATCCTCCGACTCGAGTTCCCGATTTTCCGGGGATAAACAGGATCTTATCATATTTCGGTGAGGGTTTTAACGACGAGGACATGGACAGGAAGCGCCAAGCAAGACGACCGACCGGTCGACAGAGTCATGGATTTGCACTCAGAACTAATTCCAGTTTCCTCTCGTGGATTAGCAAATTCGCGCTCTGTCACTTTGTCTCGCTGGATGACCTGTTGTTTCGCGACATTCGTCGGGAGAAACAATCCGTCTGGGAAATTGGAGGAGATTGACTCACTGAAGCCTGGCTTGGCGACTTAGCTTGACACTGATAAAGTATTGTTTTCTTCAGTTGACCAAAAGAGATCTCAAACCAACCAGTCCGAACAGAGTAGCGCGATTAGATTGTCTAGTTCGAAAATGACTCATTTCGAAAAATGTCACGAATTCGTTGTACTGAAAAAGAGCTTCGTTTTTAGGATAAGACGCAACATTTTTCTTTCTTCAAACAATTTGATGCGCTCAGCAGGTAGAAAGAGTTGTTTTATTTAAACCTGCGGGCTGATTGTTGAAATTGATAGACAAAGCTTTAGACAAAGAGGACAAAAGGGATATAGAGGGATCCTACATGGATAGAAGCGGGTGATTGCACTGCATTTTGATGTCCGTGCAGCAATAAAGGTTCGGTCAAGGAATTTTTTATAGAACGAATCATCTTCTAAAAAATGAGCTTTAGAAATTTTAATTCGAAGCAAACATCGAAGAGGTACAGTGATCAAAGCGTTTTCGGAGAAGAGGATGAAACATAAAACGGACACTGGTTTTTGATTTTGATCCTTTTCTGAAATGCTATCAAGGCAAGAACAATCCACGCGGCCGACAACCGTCCGTCTGAGCGAATGGAAGCGTTGGACCGTGTATTTTAGTGTTTGTTTAGCAGTCATCCCGCTAATTCGTGTGAGTGGCGTACGCAACGTGCGGCGTATAAATCAAAGCTGTGCCTTGTGCACGTCCAACGCAACACTTAGCACTGCATCAACCAGATTGTCAAGTTGTCACAGATTCAGCCTCTCCCAAAAGCCGTTTGACCTTATTTTTTCCGGATTATTTTGAGAAAATCATCGTTATTCCGAATTTTGGCAAAATTCTTGTATCAAAACTCTTGAAAAATGGCTATTTCCAACGATTTGCAACACTTAATTCATGTATGATCTCAGAAATATAAACAAGACGACAGTTCCAACGTTAAGACGTTGGAGAGCGTTCACCGTAGCACCTCGTCAATGTGTAAAAGTTGTTTTGCGCGGACGGAAGAGAGCGCTGCAAGACGCTGTTGAACTAGACGTGGAGCGTAACCTAGGAAACATACATATGTACAAGAAATGTCTTGTCATCATAGAGTAAAATACAGGGGTCATTAGTGAGGGGCTACTTTGTACCCAGATATTTTTTTAGAATTCCGACGACAAAAAATTTGAATGATCCTTGAAACAGTCATTAAATAAAAGTACGTCGCAGAGTTTTAAGACGTAAGATAATATTAATTTCTCAAAGACAAGCCTACTAGCATTACATAAAGTGGACAGAATAGTAGAAAAAGGTAGAAATGGTAACTAAAAAAAATTGAGAAAATAGGTATTGCTTCCCGGGTTATAGGACATTTCGTCAACAATTTTTTGTCCGAGCACCTGTTTTTTCCAGTAATTTACGTCCACGCGTTTTTTCGGCACGGGAGTTTTGGTCCACGTGCCAGTTGAGACCCAAAGTTAATTAGCCCACATGTAAATACAAACGACAATTGCTCACGACGTTTTTGGATGAAAATATATTATGTCTTGGAAGAATGAGGGTTTGCTTGTTTTTTTGTTTTGTCTGTTTGGTCCAACAGAGAATAATATATAGTTGAGAGTTTTGGTAAAAACGGGGGAGCGTCAATTCCATGAGACAAAACTCACTAAAACTCTCTACACCTCTTTGGTGTATCAGGACTTAATTATCTTTCAAGAAATTCCCGCCTTGTTATACCTGAACCGGATAAACCTCTATATTTGCCTCGGCTAAAGGCTCTTAGATTTTTCTTGTGTACGATAAGTATCTTGATTTATTTTGCGAGGAAAGATCTGTACTTTTAAATGATGCCTGTCATTCTTAATACGTTCAATTTCGTATAATACTGTGCAACACCTCTGTTGTGAAATAGTTGCTTCAGGCGCCGCCGCACGGCGCGGCGGGCGGTCAGCGCGGAACGCGCATTGGCGCCCACAAACCTAAGTGGATACTTCAAGCATTGTGCAATGCGTGAAGTATCCACTTAGGTTTGTAGGCGCTAGTGAGCCGCTCGCACTGGCAGCACGCCGCGCCGCTCCGCTCTGTTAGGCTTTGATATTTAGCGTTTTTTAACTCATGATTTTGAAATGTTAGCATACTCTGCATTGATTATTCTCATTTAAATTAATGGTAAAAAAATATGTATCAATTTATCAAAGGAGAATGATAATATAATGTGTGTTTTTTAAATATTGATAGTTCCGTGTAAAATTCAATGATTTCCAAAGCACTTTAATTTTTTCTTTTACATTTTGTGCTTAATTATGCTGCGGCGAGGTGTACGCGCAACGAAACGCTCAAAATTTCGTTGACAAAATGTCCTGAAACCGCTTTCCGCCACGAAAAATGGCGCCGATACCCATGGAGCAGGGCGGGCCTTTACCAATGGATACATTCGTAACCCAGCCGATGGAAAACGACGGGAAAGAACATCCACTACTAACGTGGGTAACGCTCAAAACCTCGAGTAAATGTCACTCGTGTAACGAGTGACCGAGGGTCGCTACGGGTGCGCGAAGCGCGCCCGACGCGGCAAATAATCCCCAAAATACCAAAATCTCTGAGTTAAAGAGCGATTTCAGAGGATTCCGGATATTTGAGGATTAAGATTTTAGGGGTCTTCTAATTGTAAAAAAATTTCTTTTCCACATCTGATTTCAATATTCTGAAGGCAATCGATGAATTTAACGATGAAAACTATGACGATACGCCATTTTTTATACATTTTTTTTTCTAGTTACTTAATGCAATTGCTTTTATCATTAAATGCGCGCAAGGTGCTCTTTACGAAACAATGAGATCGCACGGAATTCGATTCACTGAAGTTTCCTTCATTTCAGGAGGTATGCAATTTGATCACTGGGGATTTAAAATAGTTGCTCGGTGTGATTGTTACTTTCAGTGAAGGCGCCAGCGGCGTCGTAAACAAAACCATGCGAAACTGGGTGCTCTGAAGTTTCCTTCATTTCAGGGGGTATGCAATTTGATCTCCGGAGAGTTAAAATAGTTGCTCGAGGCCATTCGGTAAATTTTGGCACAGGCACTTTTAACTGAACTGTTTGACTACGAAAAAGTTATGCTCTCATCAAAAATTTAGAAGTTCGTAGCTCCAATCTGCAGCACTTTTCAAAAAAATGTATATAGATAAGGAGTGTCATTTCGACCCAAAGCACACGCTTTTGTAAACTGAAAGCTTTACTCTGGGACGCCTCGTGTATTTCTCTTTCGCTAAACATCTCTCAAATATCAGCATCACTGTGAAACCATAGTGTGCACCAGTTTGTATCGCAGTAGAAAAAATGCTCACCAAAAAAAAAAAAAAAAAAAAAGTTATAATTACACATCATTTTTATGTCTCATCCGCCGCGGCACATCATTTGCCCAAGTTTTTTTGGCACGTGAGCCGGTACAAATCTTCCAAAAATTAGAGAATTTTTTTGCTTGCGATCGGAGGAAAAATCAGTGACATCTTCACTTGGAAATTCCCAAAGATAAAGTAAAACAAAATTTTCTAGTGTCAATTTCGCAACATTAAAATGTAGTTAAGTTCTTTCGTCCGGAGAAAGGCACGACGAAAGACGCACGTTACCCTCAGAGCCATTTTTCTGCAATAATACCAAATGTGCATGTTTTGGCAAGTGAGTTGAGCAATTCTCAAGGCATGACATTCAATCTATCTTCGGTCGAACCTGCAATTTTGAGGGTCAAGTCATAATTTTAAAATTCGTGAGGGGAGGAGGATCAGGACCCCCTCCTCTCCGCTCATTCAAATTTCGCTGCGGAACCGCCTCAGCTCCGACGGTAAACAGCACGTATCATCGACACCTGAATGGAAGCATCACCTCCGCCTCCCCCTCCCCCTTTTTAAGCCCTCGCCCCCCTCGACCCCCTTCCCCCGCGATCTTCAAATTCCCGTCGGAGGGGGAGCGGGACACCTAACTGTGTCTAGGTTAGCGACTGGCATCTCGCGAGCAACTCCTTCTTCATTCCACGCTCATTCCGCGCTGCTGGCCCGGTTACATAAACGTCCGCACGAAAACTTGGAAATTATCATCTCGATGCCGAGTTCCTGCCTCCGATTATCCGACGAAATCGAGTTTTAGTTCATGAGACCTCGAGGTCGAACTACGGGTTCATCTCGCACTTTATCGGCTATTTGAGACGTTCAATTTGAATAATTAGGAATAATGAATAGCGGCCGCGTGTATGCAGTCAGAGGGGCATCATGAAGACTTAAAAAAAAGTAGGTAACATCTACTTTAGGTGAGAAAAAACACTAAGAAGTGGCCCGAATACTGTGTTCTTGGCTTTAATACCACCGCGGAATGGTGTGGACCCAGCACCATTTCTCCACCTTGTTAGATCTACCATGAGTCTACCTGATTTTTTACACAGTGATAATACAGTGTGAAAATAACCAGAATTAGTTGGTGGCCAAAATCCGAGGAAAAACAAAAAAACAAAAAAACCTCGAGAGGTAAATGGTATCATAGTGTCTCTTGTTTATTACCATACTCGGAGCACTATGTCAAAGTATGGTAAAATCTATCATACAATTTTTTTAGTGAACCTGTTGAATACGAGAGGTACAAATAAATGGATAAACTTTTGGATTCACGTAGAAATCACTACAAGTTTATCAAAAAAGTCTGAGATTTACCACTTACAACACAATTTGTGCAGTTTGTCTCGCCCATTTTTAACCTTTAGATGCTCAATACCTTTTTTACACAGAAAGCCCCAAGTCGGGTCAATTTGACCGTTTAAATACATTGATTTTGATAGTTTTTGAAGGACTATCTTTGTTACTTCTATGTTTTTGAGGGTTGAAACTAGAAGGCTGCGCCTGCAAGACATCTCAACGTGGGTTGATGACAGCGCAGAGATACAACTATTCGTGCTTGACGGATGTCCGTCTTGCATTTGCAAAATTGAAGGCGCTAGGGCGCGACGCGTGAATTTTAATGCAGAAGGATAACTTTGCATGCTTTTTAATAGACTAATTTCGTGACAACGTCATTCGATATTATCGAACTCTTGGTTCAAACCAAAACAAACCAACATATTCGCATGTACGAATTATTCATGAACTAATTGTGTTAATTTATTAAAATTCAGTCATTGACCGGTCATACATCAATTAAAGACTCATTGAACACGAGGCCTTTCAATTGTAATAAACACTTGGACGCATTTTACCACCATGGCGCGATTTAAAAAAAAGGCTCTGTGTTTGTTTACATTTGAACCAAGGTTTCGATAGTATATCGAATGACGTAGCCACGAGATCAGTCTATAGGGCTAAAATACAGTAAATTAGTTGAGCGATCATTAAAGGAAGCTTCTGTCCACAGAGGCACGGATATGAGAGCGATGTTTATAAAATTGGGTTACGAACTCAGTTTTTGAATTTTCGATGGAAAAACGGAGTGAATTGACCCTGGTGTAAAACAGCATTCCCTGACAGGAGTGACTGATCTATTCAAATCAAAACCAGCGTAAAACGAAAAAAACAAAAGCGTTTCGTCAAAAATGACTAATATCCTCGCAATCAACCGAACTGATCGCAATATTCATAGCCTGCCGATCAGCAGACCATGCCGTCAGGATCGCAATATTCCCATTTCGCGATTTTGTCGCGAAAACGCGACGGCTTTTAATGACCCAAAACGGAGGCAATAAGCTGTGAAACCAAGCTGAGCAAAGCTAACGTCGTCGATCCGACAGATACGTAGTAAAAACCACCCATGCGCTTGGAGTTTTCACTACGACTTGCGCGGTTTGCTCCGGTCCGAGGGACCAAGCACTGCGCTCACACTGCCAGCTAATAAGAAACCGCGTATCTTAGGTTCGTTTTTTATTGTATTTACGCGGTTGGATCCGGCTCGAAGGACCAAGCACTGCGCTCACGCTGCCAGCTAATAAGAAACCGCGTATCTTATGTTCATTTTTTATTGTATTTACGCGGTTGGATCCGGCTCGAAGGACCGAAGCGTGCGCTCACATGACTCGCTAATCAAAAACCGCTTGTCGCTGGTATGTTTTTGAGGTGAGTTGAGTGGATTTTGATTGGCGGGGCGGAGCGGAGATCTGCTAGTGTTGCAAGAGCCGGGAGCTCGGGTCCGGGCGTTGCATCGGCCATTATCCATTAGCCGCTCCGCTCGCGACTCGAGGCATCTCGGCAACTCCGTTTCATCAGCTCCACCGTCCACCAGGCTGCCACAATCGATCCCGACCGATCTTCTCGGATAATCGCCGCTGACACGACCCCGACTGCCACCCACGAGACCGCTCCGAAAAGTGCAACAGGTAGGTGCCCCCTTTCCAATTTATAAACAATATACAGCCGTGATAGCGAAAAGAGCCGTAAGTACAAAATTTTCGAAATCGAGTTTTCTTCAAAATTCGTCTAAACTCTTTTAGATGAAATTACTGAGACAGCTAAAACAGCAAAATTCATCCTACTTTAATGAAAACGAGACGTATGAGAAAGCCGTAAGTGCGCACAAAAAATGACATAGTTTTTTTCAAGACAGCCGCAGGAGTCATGAGAGCCAATGAAAGCAGTGCTTTCCAGTAAAGTGCCGCCCTCTTCTGCCAATTTCTAACCTGAAGATGTGTTTCTTGTGCGTCCAAAACGCAACCACGAAAGCATGCAGATGATAGCACTAACGGCTGTCTTACCTAACAATAACCTGGTATGAAAATGAAAAATACCCTTTTTATGTTATGGAAATAAAATCGGTCAATTTTTAATCATCCATACGATTTCTAGGAGTCTTCCGGACGATTAGTGGCAATTTGAAAAAGAACGGAGGCTTCTTTCAATAAAATGTTCCGGTCAGAAGCCTCTGAGCCCGTTTCCTCAGAACTTCATTTTTGCACTTACGGCTCTCTTCGCTATCACGGCAGTATAGTTCTACGGCCACCTCTCTTTAATATGTCGTTAACTGTCAGTTGCCCAGGAGTGAAATGGAACATGTTTTGAAAGATTTTCATAAAAAAATAATCAAAAATATCGTGAGATCTTTACTCTGTGACATGATTTTTAATTATTTCATTTCTTCTAAATCTTTGAGAATGGTGATTTTTTAAATATTTACATGAAAGCATATTTCATGTATTGTCAGAAATTAAATCGGAAAACTCTATCCCAATCGGCATCTACGAGGCGGCTCTGAAAAGTACAGCAGGTAGGAGCACCCTTTCCGATTTACAATCAGTATAGTCTAGCTACATCTCTTTAATTAGCCATTAACTGTCAGTTGCCTAGGAGTAAAACGGAACATGTTTTGAAAAAATGTTAACAAAAAAAATTAAAAACATACCAAGATTGCTAATATTTGACAATATTTTTGGTTATTTAATTTTTTGCTAAATCGTTGAAAATAGTTAAGTATTTTTTTTTAATATTTACATAAAAGTATGTTTCAAATAATGTCATAAATTAAGTTGGAAAACTCAACCCCAATCGAAACTTGCAAAATCGCTCGGAAAAGTGCAACAGGTAGGTGCGCCCTTTCCAATTATTTACAATCAGTATAGTTCTATAGCCACATCTCTTTAATAGGCTATTAACTGTCAGTTGCCCAGGAGTGAAACGGAGCATGTTTTGAATTCTTTTTTTTAAAAAAAAATAAAAAAATGTTGCGCGATCGCTACTATTTGACAATATTTTTGATTATTTATTTTCTGCCAAATGAATTGAAAATATTTAGAGTAATTTGTTAAATATTTGCATTCAAATTTAAAATTATAAAAAAAACCGACACACAAATACACGCTGCCAGCTGGAGTTAACATTTCCTTAATCCTCCAAAATCGATGCCTTGGAAGTCTCTAGAAAGTCTCAAAATTTTAAAACAAACTCTGTGTTTTAGGAAACCTATTGTAGGTATTTTTCAGTAAATTTTTAGTAAAATAGTAGTTAAAAATAAACTCTGAAAATATCCTCCGTGGTTCTTTAACCCAAGGAATATTGGTATATTTTTAAAGATAGTATAATGTATTTATTTTATGAGTTTAGATATAGTTGTATGATACAAGGAGTTTTTCTCTAAAGGTGATATGCTCCTCTCCTTCTCCCTTCTTCTAATATTTCATGTTGATTGAAGTCTCTGCACAGTAAAAAGCACTCAACAAATAAATGAACAAATGAATAAAAAAAAGAGAAAGTAAAAATGGCTCACTGGTAATTTCGATTGAAAAAGAGCGCGGAAATGGAATGTTTTTGGCATCTTCGAAGGCAGGAAATGATGTGCCTTTTTCAGTCTTGTCTTAAAGGCTCATCACGGGGAATAGGCTATGGATTCAATAGACTGCGTCTCGTTCATAAATAAAAAGCTCATCCCTCACGACACTCGCAAACTTTTCAGGGACGAAAAAGAGGTTGAAGAGCGATCAAAGTTAGGAGGTGAAAAGTATTATATTCCAACCGGGATGCAGCACCTGTTGCCGTGTTTATCCCGAAAAGGGTCGTATATGTGGTTGTGTTAGGGCCACATTTTCATTATTTTTGGCTTATCCATAAAAGCACCCATCCGTATAGCAAAACTAATGGCACCTGTATTGTTTCAAAAATGAGCCAGCGGGCTGATTGTTGAAATAAATAGACAAAGAAGACATTGGGAGTATAGGAGCGATCCTATTGGTTGAAATGGGTGGTTCTAAGGACTAAAGATTAAAAGAGAAAATTATGGACTAACGATAGGGTCTCTTGTGGATTCCCATTAGTTAGTGTATTATCTACCTCCATTGCAACCACCTACTTCCACCGATAGGACCCCCCCCCCATATCTCTCTTATCTTCTTTGTCTATAGCTTTGTCCATCTATTTCAGCAAACAGTCCTCAGACATTGTAGCTCTTCATCGCAAAATGCGGTCCACTTGTGGATAGAAACAAACCTCAAGGCAGCTTCCCCTTCCTTGTTGTGCGTAGATGAAGTCTCTGGTAAAAATTGGTAGTAGAATCTGTGTTTCAAAATACCATAGACAAACAGCCGGCTGTAAGATTTCCATTAGCTTCTATAGCCGACTACACAATTTTTCATAGCCTTTAATAGCCGATGGCGATTTACCAACTCACAGCCAGGCGATAAAGTGTATGCTAAAAATCACTAATTACGGATGCTAGGACTTAGTGAGTTTTTGGACCACTGCTCTCTTTTTGGGCCGTAGTATCTTGATTTATTTTGCAAGGAAAGCTCCGTACTTTTGATGGATGCCTGCCATTTCTAATATATTAGAGCGCCTTCAGTTTCGTATGATACTGTGCAATACCTCTGGTGTGAAATAGTTGCTTCAAGCGCCGTGGCACGCTGCGGTGCGGCAGGCGGGTAGCCAGCGCGCATTGGCGCCTACAAACCTAACAGGGATACTTCACGCGTTGCGCAATGCGTGAAGTATCCCTGTTAGGTTTGTAGGCGCCAGTGCGTCGCCGCTCCGCTTTGTGTTAGGCTCTAATATTTAATCTGGCGGAGTCAGCGTTATTCAACTCATGATTTTGAAATGTTTGCACATCCTTTATGGATTATTCTCGTTTTAATTAATGAAAAAAAAATTGTATTAAAGGAAGATATAACGCGTGTTTTGTAAAGATTAAGGTGGTTCCGTATCAAACTTAATGATTTCCAAAGCACACGAATTTCTACACAATTTCTTACAGCCTTTTATAATCGATGGCGATAAAGTGTAAAGCCCGGCGATAGGAACTATAGCCCGGCTGCATAATTTTTTATCGCTTCGTATAGCCCGGCCGTATGATTTTCTCCGCATTCCACAGCCAGCTATATGATTTTCTGTAGCCTTTTTTAGCCGGCTATAAGAATTCCTATGGTATTTTGAAACGCAGCTCTTATCGCCAATTTTTACCAAGGGTACCTTATACAATAGCGGATATAAAAATTAAATTATCTGAAAAAGGCTATCTGATATTTTTGATGGAAAACTCGTTTAAGGTTCTGATTCAATTCACCTGATTGGACCCAACAATTGCGTTTCCCAATTTGAACCACTCCTCCAAAGAATAGTAATATCGTGTGTTCAAAGAGGGTTCCGCACCATGAATGTTTCATCCCTAAACAAATACGCTCCAAATGATTTTCCAATTTAAAATTAACTATGTGCCCTCATCGCCAAATTAATATTGCTAAACACGAGACCCGAGTTTGTGCAGGGGGAGGCAAGCGGGAATCCAATAATTTGTTTTTTAAACAAATCCCAGATTCACAAAAATCACAAAATTCATCGATGCTAAAATGTATAACAGGTTGAATACAGCACCCTTTATTATACGACTTGAGTTCATTCACATACTTAAATTTTTGAGGTCGTGGCATGGAAGAGATTCTTATAGTTAATATGAACCAAAATTCCTACAGAAGGAAGTTAACCCGATCAAAATTTGACGTTTTGAAAATAACTTTATTAATGGCGTAAAATGTTGAGAACATATTTCGTCTGAGGTTTTGACCGAGAATCGAATGGCGAGGAAGTTTTCAGTGAACTGTTAATCTTGGAACTTTAACATCTTGAATGGATTTTTACGATATCCTAAGTAGCATCCTATAAAATAAAAAACTTAGAGAAACGTCCCATCAATCTTGACAACACGTTAATAATACTGCTGATTTACAAATTGAAGCGCTGGGTATAGAAAGGGTATTTCCTGGTTGCGATGTCTCAAAATCTCCGCTATAACGCTTCATCCATCATAATTAAAGCAGAAGTATAGAATTTGTTGAGAATTTTATTGAATTTTCTCTATAAATTTACAATGCTGAAAACGCAATTTTTTTGATAATTCACCCAATTTTTTCATCTCTAAAATAAAAATTAGTAGTTTAGATTCTCACCGCAAACAAGGAATACCCTCTTTGTACCCAACGCCTCAATTTGTCGTTTTTCTCAGGGAAAAACGCAACTACATTCCAATGTTGCCAGATTTCCCACGAGAAATTGCAGTTTTACCAGGCGAATCTTGGACTTTTTTACTGAAAATTTCACCGATTTTTCCTCTGATCTCATGCAAAAATCAGGAAAATTTTTGACAAAAATTGCATTTAAAAAAATTGTTTGAGTTAATTTTGCAACCTTGGAATGGAGTTACGTTCCTTCATCCGAGAAACGACGAATTTGATCGCATTTAGCAAAAAAGAACCAGCACAATTACACATACAGTGTTGTAAAAATTTAGCTTCTCCATACACTGGAAAAAAAAACACATTGGATCTAGAGTCCAGACTCTTGAAAACATTGACGAGAAAAAATACTCTTGATTCAATTAGATTTTTGCTCGAATCAAAAGGAA